GTACAGCGGATGCAGTATACCACATTGGCAGATGTGCAGGTGAACATCTGCTTGATGTGGAAAGTCTTCTTGGGGCCTGGGATGGGGGTGAGGGAGGAGGTATGGGGGCAGGTGTAGCACTTCCTGCGGTTGCAGGGAAAAGAAAACATTCCACATCAAGCAGATGTTCACCTGCACATGTCTGTACCCGGTGTGGCTTCCTCTACATCGGGGAAACCAAGCGGAGGCTCGGGGACCGCTTTGCAGAACACCTACGCTCGGTTCGCAATAAACAACTGCACCTCCCAGTCGCGAACCATTTCAACTCCCCCTCCCATTCCTCAGACGACATGTCCATCCTGGGCCTCCTGCAGTGCCACAACGATGCCACCCGAAGGTTGCAGGAACAGCAACTCATATTTCGCTTGGGAACCCTGCAGCCCAATGGTATCAATGTGGATTTCACAAGCTTCAAAATCTCCCCTCCCCTACCGCATCCCAAAACCAGTCTAGCTCATCCCCGCCTCCCTAACCTGTTCTTCCTCCCACCTATCCCCTCCTCCCACCTCAAGCCGCACCCCCATCTCCTACCGACTAACCTCATCCCGCCCCCTTGACCTGTCCGTCCTCCCTGGACTGACCTATCCCCTCCCTAACTCCCCACCTACACTCACCTTTACTGGCTCCATCCTCGCCTCTTCGACCTGTTTGTTTCCTCTCCACCTATCCTCTCCTCTATCCATCTTCTATCCGCCTCCCCCTCTCTCCCTATTTATTTCAGAACCCCCTTCCCCTCCCCCTTTTCTGATGAAGGGTCTCGGCCCGAAACGTCAGCCTTTCTGCTCCTATGATGCTGCTTGGCCCGCTGTGTTCATCCAGCCCTGCACCTTGTTGTCTCGGATTCTCCAACATCTGCAGTTCCTACTATCTCTGTTCCTATATCTTAGTTTAGAGTCATAGAGTCACACAGCACAGAAACAGACCCTTTGTTTCAATTCATCTATGTCCACCAAGTTTCCGAAACTAAACTAGTCCAACTTGCCTGCGTTTGGCCCATTCATGCATCTGTTCAAATGTCTTTTAAATGCTGTAATTGTACCTGCATCTACCACTTTTTCTGGCAGTTCATTCCACGTATGTGTGTGAAAAAATTGCCCCTCAAGTCCGTTTTAAATCTTTTTCCTCTCACCTTAAAAATGTGTCGCCCAGTTTTGAACTCCCCCACCCTAGGGAAAAGACCTTTGCTGTTCATCTTATCTATGCCACTCATGATTTTATAAACCTTGATAAGGTCACCCCTCAACCTCCAATGTCCCAAGACACTTTGCAGGAGCATTAAATAAAATACATCAGTGACTCATATAAGGAGTTATGAAGACTGGTGAAGAATGAACAGCTAAGAAATGACTCAAAGAGCCAGAAAGTCAGAAATGACAAAAAGTAGCTGAAGGTAATGAGCCCAATGCTCCAAGGTCCGGCATAGAATTGGAGAAGCCCAGATCTATTGGATAATTGTGAGACCACAGGGACAATAGAGATAGGGGAGCATTGTGACAATGGAGGGATTTGAAAATGAGAATGAGAATTAGAAAATTGCTTTACCAGAATCCAAATCGGCGAGCAGAGGGGTGATGGAGGAAGCACTTCAGTGATACCCTCAAGGCTTCACTGGTGAGGTGCGGCATTCCCACAGACACCTGGGAATCAACGGCCCAAGACAGTCCCAAGTGGAGGAGGGGCATCAGGGAAGGCATCAAGCACTTCGAGACTCGCTGTTGGGAAAAAGCAGAAGCCAAACAGCGAAAGGAGTGCGCTGCCGCACCAATGCCACACCCACCCGTTCCCGGGACCACCACCTGCCCAAAGTATAACAGCGCCTGCGGTAGCCCCATCGGTCTGTACAGCCACCTACAGGCTCACCCTGAGAGTGGAAGAGAGGCATCCTTGTCTATGAGGGACCACCGATGATGGAAGAACAGGATTTGGTGCGAGTTGGAACCAGGTCACAGGCAGTAATCTAAATTATATCCAAGGCAGAAATAGTGACTCCCTCACTCGAATCCCTCCTTCAATTCCTTACCTTCTTTCGCTTATCCCTCTTAACACACTGTTTCTTCCCTTCCCTTTTTAATTCCTCCAGCTCTTTCTCCTCCCCTTGTATCCACTTTCCTGCCTTGTTTTCCTTTGGCCCCGCCTGGTTACCTCAGCGGATGTAGCAGTCTCTGTTGGCCCACAGTGTTTCGTGTAGAGTGTGGGTGTAAGAGGGAGAGTGAGCCCAGAGCAGACCACTGCATTGACAAGATCAGAGGCTGCATATTACAACCAACTAGCCCTCAGCCACTGTGGGCTCCCAGGTAAGCAGCTCCTTTCTACACCCTCTATCTCTCAAATACCCGTTTCCCGAATAATACCTTTTATTCCTCTCGATTCTAACTTTAGAAAACTTTCATTTCAAATCCCTAAAATGTGGGCAGTGTTTCTCCGAGCTGAACACGGTCAGGTCCAGGGTAACCGCATCCAAAAAAAAGTCTATCAAGATATCAAAATGAACTGTCAGTTATTAACATTCCTGTGTTATTTGGCTGCTTTCTTTTTCACCTTCAGAAATATCAAAGGATTCTTCATATTAATGATTTCAGTTCGTTTTTATTTTTAAAGTAAAAACTGCATTTAAAAAAAGCCGTAGAGTTTCAAGCCATCCAGACTCACCTTCTCATATTTTATTCTGTAGATAAACTTCAGTGAAACCCTGACCCTGCCAACCCCCATCAATCACTTGGAATTTTGTGCTCAGGTAACTTTGCCCTCTGAAGTGCATCCAGGTAAGTCATTGTTTGAAGAGGGTGTGATTGTTCGGAATCACTGTTGCATGTATGCCTCTGGTAATTCACATTTTCACAAGGCATGGGAGAAATCTCTAGTAGTCGTACGCTATAATTATCCAGGTCCCTCTTTAATCCTGTTTGGCATTTATCGCTGGAAGAATACAGTATAAAAGTACGGAAGTGTTACTGCAGCTGTACAAGGCATTAGTGAGAACACACCTAGAGTACTGTGTATAGTTCTGGTCCCCTAACTTGAGGAAGTTGCAATGGAGGCAGTTCAGAGGAAATTCACTACATTGATACACAGAAATGAGGCGTTCGTTTCATGAAGAGAGTTTGAGCAGGTTAGGCCAATACTCTCTGGAGCTTAGAAGACTGAGATTAGATCTAATTGAGGTCTATAAGATACTAAAGGGGGTTTGACAAAGTAGACGTAGAGAGAACATCTCCTCATGTGGGGCAAGCTAGAATGAGAGGTCATAGCTTTAGGATAAGGGGTAGCTGATTTAAAACCGAGATGAGGAGGAATTGCTTCTCTCAAAGGATCATGAATCTATGGAATTCACTTCCCCAGAGTGCGGTGGATGCTAGCACATTGAATAAATTTAGGTGATAGACAGATTTTTAATTAGGAATGCGTGAAAGAGTAGGAAATTAGAGTGATGTTTAAAAAGGACACGAGGGGCAAATTTTTTACTCAGAGAGTGGTTCGCGTGTGGAATGGACTTGTGGAAGAAATGGTGGATGTGGGCACAATTGCAACTTTTGAAAGACATTTGGATAAATACATGAATAGGAAAAGTTTGGAGGGATATGGGCCAGGAGCAGGCAGGCAGGATTAGTTTAGTTTGGGATTATGTTTAGCATGGACTGGTTGGATCGTAGGGTCTGCTTCCATGCTGAATGACCCTGACTCTGATATGAGAGATCGACAATGATTATATTGAATGGCGGAGCAGGCTCGAGGTGTTGACTGGCCTACTCCTGCTCTTAGTTCTGATGTTCTTTATGTACGCAGAGTCAGGCAAGCACCTCTATACAATGCAAGCTAGGGCCCATCAGGAAGAGACTGGTGTAGTGGTGATATCACTGGACTAGCATTCTGGTGGCTCAGGTTAAAGGCATGAGTTCAAACCTCAAATGCTACTCCTAGTTCCTCTCATTAGTAGCCTGTTGTCATTGTATTCGCTCTGATCAAATGACAGCAACATTGGCTTTCTCTCTTCTGGATGTCACTTTTTAGAATTCTTAGTCCTTTCGCTATTTCAAATATCCTTTCCCCAGTTGATACATCAAATGTTTAGCATATGTCTTAGTCTCCACATCTTAAATCCCAAAGCAGCGGAAAAAATTCTGAAATTAGAAGGTAGCCTGAGTAGTTTTGTATGAAGCTATCATCATAACAATGATTATGTGTTGATTATTGTCAAAGTCTAATGAGTTGCCTCTCAGGAAAGAAATTTGTCCTCGCCCGGTCTTTGTTTAATTCATTCGCGGGATGTGAGTGTCACTGGCTGGGAGTTTGCACCTGCAGATGTTGGCTGCAGTGTTTCACACTTTACTGTCGTGACTACATTTCAACTGTAACCACTTCACCATGGGGTTCTTCAGAGATGTCTTGCGGTTGTCGAATGTCCTATATAAATGCAAAGAACTGCCTTCTTCCCTTTCTTTAATTCATTCTTGGCAAGGCCAGTAATTATTAACCATCGCTAACTGCCCAATGAGAAGTTACCTTTTTGTAGTCCTTGTGCTGTGGGTACATTCACAGTGTTGCTTGGGAAGGAGGCAAGAATTTGAGCCAGCGACAGCAAAGGAACAGCGATGTATTTCCGAGTCAGGGCGGAGAGTGGCTCGGAGGGGAACTTGTAGGGGGTGGTGTTCCCATGTATCTGCTGTCCTTGTCCTTCCAGATGGAAGTCACCACAGGCCTGGAAAGCTTCAGGGGTCTCAACTTAATGTTTCATCCGAAAGGCAGGGCAAGGCTCTTTCAGCACTGCATTGTTGTTCCAGCCCAGATTATAGGAATTCAGGAGCAGGAGGAGGCCATTCGGCCCTTTGAATCCATTCTGCCATTGTATAACATTATGACTGATCTGATTGTATTTTCAACTCCATTTTTCTGTATTCCCCCCTCATAACCCTTGATAACTTTATCTATCAAAAATCTGTTTTGGATATGTCCTGCAGTAGGGCACGAACCCACATTTGTTTTGACTATGGGAGTGATACTAATATCAAAGACTATTACTTCTGTTTCTTGCACATCAATGTAATAATTTCAGCCTCCGAGAGATCCTTGTGAGTACCACAAACTGTTCTAACAAAATTGGGTGTAAGATTGCTTCTTGTCCATTTGTAATGAATCTCTGTGCCTGCTGTTTTATTGCAGCAAGGTCAATGCGTGGCTACATGCATTAAACTGATATTCAGGCAAATATTATAAGCCTGAGCTCACCCAAAACTCTGCTGGATATGTCTTAATTTCGAGCAAGCCCTGTTCACATATTACCCCTGTCTTCCCTGAATCATAGAAACATAGAAAATAGGAGCAGGAGTTGGCCATTCAGCCCTTCAAGACTGCTCTGCCATTCAATAATAGCATCAAACTCAGTCCCTGTTTCCCCCTTTCTCTCCATATCCTTTGATCCCTAAGAACTATATTTAACTCCTTCTTGAGAACGTTCAATGTTTTGACCCAACTGCTTTGTGTGGCAGAGAATTCCACAGGTTCTCCATTCTTTAGGTGAAGACATTTCTGCTCATCTCAGTGCTAAAAGGTCTGCATTGAGTCCCGGTCAGGCAAAGTCTTGATTTATAGAAGCCTCTTCCTGGCTTTCAAATCCCTCTGTGGCCCCGAACCTCCCCATCTGAGTAACTTCCCTCAGCCCCATACCTTCCCCCAGCCCCATACCCTCTCAGGGTCTCTGCACCCCTCTGATTCTGGCCTCTTGGTCTGTCCCCAGTGTTCATTGCTCCATCATTAGTGCCTTGAGTTACCTTGGCCTTGATGTCTGAAATTCCTTCCATGCCTCTCTCCCCCTCTCAACCTCACTCTCACCCTTTAAGACAGTCCCTAGAACCTCCCTCTTTGACCAGGGTTTTTGCGTCATCTGACACCCTTCAATCTTGTTCCTGGCCTTGTACTCTCCTGTGAAGCAATTTTGTTCATTTTTTTGCACTGAGGCTGCTAGATTAATGAAAGTCGGTTGAAGAAGGTGGAGGGAAGGGGAATAAAACTCCGTGTTTTCTTTCCTTCACAGCTCCACGGAATGCTGGGATAGAAGGAATCCCAACAGCACGGAGGTAGCAGAACAGCTTGACATTTGGAGCAGTGAGCTGGGACGGTGGCAGAGACTCTGTCACATCATGTACGCTACCGCTGGCCTGTTTGGACCCTTTATACCCAGGAGATTTGTGAGCTCCCCTGAGGCCCTGCTGTTGCCCCCTATTCGGATGCACAACTTTTACAGTCGGCCATTTACCATAGTCATGATGGACATGGACAACCTCCAGGAAGGAGCAGGGAAACATATAGAGTATCACCATTTCTATGGGGCTCCCTACTTCTATCCATACTGGTACATGCCTCCTGCCAACCTGGCAACATACATGTACCCATCATACTATCCATACAATGAGTATTATCCACATCAGCACCCGCTCAGCTCAGCCAATTGGCCTGATGGCTCCATCCTGAAGGGGGAGCTGCACTGGGGTAAGATGGAGCGTGTTTTCGGACCAGTCAGGGAATTGCCCGACTTTGTCCAGGATGAGCTGCGCAGAGTCTATGGCACGTATCCCAAAACAATAGTCACCATCAGCTATCAGAACGGGGAGTACCTGGTGAAGGGGGAGCCCAAGGTTGGCGAGCAGAAGTACAAGGTGGAAAAGAAAGTCATCAGGCGACCAGCCACTCCCAGCGATGAGGAGGACGACTCCGTGAGCGAGGTGGCAGAGAAACACAAAAGGAAGTCGAAACGCTAAAGGCGTTGTGTCTTCAGACAATTTGTAAAGAATGGACACTGTTAGTAAGAGAAATGAAAGCAGGCAGTGCTCGAGGAACTCAGCGGGTCTGGTAGCATCTGCAGAGAGAGGAATAGATTCGGTTCCGATAGGACCATTCTCAGGAACCATTAGTGAGAGGTTTGATTGCCTGTAAAGTCCCAAGGTGATACAACATTGCAGCACAGTGAATCATAGTGAGGATGTGAAGGTGTGTGTGGGCATGCTTGAGATACCCTGTTAGTTTATGGCTACACTGCCTGTTTGTACACAAACTCCAAAGCAACTATGTCTGTAGTCCATCTCGCAAAAAGCTGTCAGTTTTTAAACGTAATTTATGTATTAAATCCATATTAATCCTCGAGTTGATAATGCGCGAATGATCCCAGTGTTTTTTCATATCAGACGGCCATACTGTAAAGTGATAGTAACATTTGCTGTCACTTCCTTCAACAGATGATGTTCTAACCTCTTTAAAAAAGTAAGTATTGCAGGAGAATCTAAGACTTTAAAAGGTTGGGGATATTCATAAGTTATTCTTATAGAATAAGTTTGAATATCTTCTTATAGAAGATATTCAAAAGTTGGCATAGAGAGATACAGAACTATCGTTTCCAATTGAAGCTACCATTTTCCGTTTGTGCCTCGTATCTCCAGCATTTGTGGTATTTCTTTTTTGATTTCTCATTTTCAGTGGTTTTATCACTTGGCAATGCTTTAACCTTTTAAATGAAACAAAACATGAATTGCCTGCCCTTTCCCTTTATGTTAAAAAGACTCAAGGGGCTGAATGGCCTCTTCCTGCTCTATATTCCTATGTACAGACTTATTTTCAGATTTCATTTCAGGTTTGTAGAAGTTTCCTACAACTCACTGGGGGTCACGTGCAGTAAATCTATCAATGAATGTGAACATTTTGATCAAAATTGAACAATTTTACCAATTCGACTGAATCAGGTTTGAAGAATTATGCACATGCTTTCCATTAACAAGAAAATAACAATTCATTGTATCATGGAGCAGAAAGGCTAACGTTTCGGGCCTAGACCCTTCTGATGAAGGGTCTAGGCCCGAAACGTTAGCCTTTCTGCTCCTATGATGCTGCTTGGCCTGCTGTGTTCATCCAGCTCTACACCTTCTTGTCTCGGATTCTCCACCATCTGCAGTTCCTACTATCTCTAATTCATTGTATCAAACTGTTTTTAACAGATGGTTAAAAAAAGGCAAATGATTTGCTAATTTATATCTCTTTTACTTAAACTCTACCCCTTTCTTAAAATTCCTGCAATATACAAACACGAACATAAAGAGTTGAATCATAAGCATTATGGGTGCGCAAGGAACAAGTCAGAGAAGCACAGTTTTGGCACCAGTCCAATTACAGATGGCGAAGAGTTGTTTCCTTTCGATTCCATCCAATTCTTTGCTAATGACAAAGTTGTGGACACGTCAATTCTGAGTGTCATTAATTTGTTGACGATTCACCCTTTCGATGCCTCTCTGAAGATATCTTTTGAAATTCTTCTTTCCTTTCAATGAGGAAATTTGCAGAGAGCAGTTTACAGGAAAAGCGTGAGTAAGAACAGCTACCAGGAGATTTTCTGTCACTTTCTATAAAGGAGGGAGAGAAAGAGATTTAGCTACTTTCTGTTTGCAGGCTAGAAGCGTTTGTTTAATGGGCATGCTCATAGGATATGGACACCTGCCCAGGACCCAATCACTAAATTGATAATGTGCTGAGCTCTCCTGACCCCATAAAAGTAGTTGATTGAAAAACCAATAAAAAACTGTCTCTGAGCAGAATTAACCTGAAAACACACACTTGCACGTGCGCGCGCGCACACACACACACACACACACGCACACTCACTCACACACGCACGCACACACACATGCACACACACGCACACATACACACACATATGCACACATACACACTCACTCACATACACACACACACTCACTCACACACATGCACACACACACGCACACACGCACGCACCCACTCACACACATACAGACACACATTCACATACACACACAGGCACACTCACACATACACACACACACACAAACACAGACACACACTCACACACACACACACACTTACTCACGCACGCATGCACCCACACACGCGCGCACACACTCACACACACATACATGCACACACACGCACACCAACACACACACTCACTCACACACGCGCATACACACACACACATTCACACACTCTCATACACACACACACAAACACAGACACACAAACACAGACACACACTCTCTCACACACACACACATAGATACACACACACGCATATGCACGCACACACATAAACACACAGACACACACACACAGGCACACTCACACATACACACACACA